GAAAGAAGGAAGGAAGGAAGGAAGGAAGGAAGGAAGGAAGGAAGGAAGGAAGGAAGGAAGGAAGGAAGGAAGGGAAGAAAACCCTAAAATTATCTCCTTGCAAATCAACTCAAGAAGCTCATTAGGGTCTAGATTCAGAGACTTGGGGAAAAGAGAGAGAAGACTGACTGTCCTGTGCCCAAGTTGTAAGAGCTCTGAGGAACCCTCCACAGATCCTATCTCTGGAGCCCTGAGAGGCAAGAAGACATAGGAAATAAAAAAGTATTTTAACTACAGCTCTGGAAATGATGAAAAATATTGAAGAAAACAAAAGAGTGGACATATGTAAGATTATTGAAAGTTTACTTCTACACAGCTGCTGTGAATCTGGGATATACTTACACGAAAAGAAAGTAGGTCAGTACACTTGACAGAATGTATATATAAGAAAGGCAATGCCAAAGATAACAATTGGATAACAATAGATATTCTATAATAATAATTAAATGCTAGTCTTCAAATTCAGGTGGAATTGCATGGGATCCAGAATAGTTAAACTATATTGAAAAAGAATGAAGTTGGAGGGCTCACACTTTCTGATTTAAAAACTTATAACAGAGCTACAATAATCAAGAAAGTGTAGTACTAACAACATAAGGATAAACATATAGACCAATGGAATAAAACCAAGAATCCAGAAATAAAACCAAATATCTATGAGCTGATTGACTTTGACAAGGTTGCCAAGACCATTCAATGGAGAAAGAAGAGTCTCTTCAACAAATGGTGCTGGGACAACTGAATATCCATCCACATGTCAAAGAATGAAGCAAAGCCCATACCTCACATCACCTACAAAAATTAACTCAAAATGGATCAATGACCTAAAAATAAGAGCTAAAACCATAAAACTCTTAATACAGAGTAAATCTTCATAACTTTGGATTTGGCAATGGATTTTTAGAGATGACTGACACCAAAGTTTGAGCAACAAAATGAAAAATAGACAAATTAGACTTTGCGAAAATTGAAAACTTTTGTATGTCAAAGGTTACTATCGAAGTGAAAAAAAATCTACAAAACAGGAGAAAATATTTGCAAGTCATTTATCTGATAAGGATGTAGTATCTAGACTGTATAAGAACTCTTATAATTCAACCACAAAAAGAAAAATCATTCAATTTAAAAATGGGCAAAGAACTTAGACATTTCTCCAAATAAGATACAAATAGCCAAGAAACACATG